CGGATAAGCATTTAATGGAAAGTTCACGCCTCCTTCCCAACCGATGTCGCAAAACTTGTCCAGAGGTGGGGTTTGAACCACGGATCTTACATTTCTGAGGCAAGTGCGCTACCACTGCGCCACGGCTGCTTTTAGTTTACCTATTTGACTAGTTAGTCGGCAATGTAGACCCTGTCGATAGGTTAGTCGGTAAAGTCAGTCGGTAAATGTCGTTATGACAGTCGGTAAATTTTAAAAAACGAGGACCTTTTTTTTTTTTTTAAACGGCAAAAGTTCCAATGGCACCCCCCCACCCCACCCCCACGTGACCCCTACTCGCGCCGGCCCTGAGTGTTAGTACTGTAAAACTTAACTTAAAAGAACTGTTAAGTGTTAAGTTAAGTAATTACCAAAGTATTTTATAGAAAAAATATAATCTTTATTGATTAAACGAGGTTTGTTTTGGACTTAATGTTTTTGTTACTACTTATGAAAACAATAGTTTTAAGCACTTTGCTTTTCTTATTGTTTAATGATGCGTGTTAAAAACTTTATTATAATCGAATTTTTATAAATTGTAAATGCTATTCAAAAGTTATTCAAAAAAATGTAAGGTTGCTACAAAAATGTTTTTGCTACAAAAAGATTTGTTCGGCTGTAAGCGAACAATTTAATGCGAATCTTCGTTTTTATATTTATATTATAACTATTTCTTCTATATTTCAGTACAAACAGGGCCGGCGCGAGTAGGTGTCACGTGGGGGGGGGGGTGCCATTATCACTATTGCCGACTAAAAAAAAAAAAAAAAAAAAAAAAAAAAAGTCCTCGTCTTCGAAAATTTGCCGACTCCATGACGACATTTGCCGACTAACTGTTTAAACTACCGACTACCCTATATCGAAAGGGTCAACATTTGCCGACTAACTAGTCGAAAAGGGTCAAATTTGCCGACTAAAATCATTGATGGGGAGGGGGGGTGTTACACCCCCACACACACCCTTCGCGCCGGCCTTGAGTACAAATATTTGTTTTAACTTTAATTTTGTTTAATTTAAGTTTGATTTGAACGGTTATTAGTTAAATAATTCGTTTAATATTTATTTACTACTTAGTTCAGATTATATGTTTTATTCAAGTCTCTCGCTTTTAAATCAGTTTATACTTGATTGTGGCAAAAAAAATAATACGACATCTTTAAAGAAAAAATTTATACGATGACGTCATATACTGAAACTGTTATGAATTAAACACACTTGGAATAAATTATCAAGTCTGTAGATTGCGGCTTACATTATACAGACTCTGAGAACCAAAAAAATGGAGACGGAGAGCTTCGACTAAAACGCGAACTTTAAATTTAATGGAGCGCATTTATTATATAGTTTTAATTTAATATGAACATAACTTGTCTCGGCTCGGGGATCCCTTTAAGTTTTTGTTTATGCTTATTTAATTAATTGTTGATATAAATTGTTGATATAAATTTTGTTTATGCTTATTTAATTAATTGTTGATAATTGTTGATAAAAATTGGCATGTAATTTAATATTGGTGTTTTAAATATTCTTTTTTTAATTAATTATTTCAAATGAAAAAAATTATCTTCTGCATTCAGATAAGCACAACTCATTTCGCATTTTAAACCGCAAGCTATATTTGACGTATATATATATATATATATATATATATATATATATATATATATATATATATATATATATATATATATATATATATATATATATATATATATATATATATATATATATATATATATATATATATATATATATTGACGTTGATTATATTTTGACCACCGCATCTTTTTTAAGACTTTCTTTATAAATGAATTGCGTCATATTCTGGTTAAACAAACTGTATTGAAAATTAAATATCTTTCCTTCAAAAATGTTTTAAAGTTTTCAAAGTTTGCTTTAGCGCTTCTATTGCTAATTTAAAGTTAAAACAAGTACGGTGCTTCGTTCATTAAAGAAGAGCTACAATTTTATCAGGGTCATGCTCTTCGAGCGCGATTAAACTAATTAATTTAAAGACATTAAATGTATGAAAATCATTTTCACTTTCAGTCATATTTATTTAAAAGAATTTAATATTTATCATTAAAATTATTATTTATTTTTTCTTAAGAGAACTTACTTCTTGCATTTTTAATGATTATTATAAAAAATTGGTAGCATAAAATAAAAAATTAGAACATTTATATATATAAAAATATATTAAGAACATAAATTACTTTTCTTTGCAGTCCAATACACTATGATTAGTTTTTCCATGGAAGTATAAAACAGATGAAGGTTGATCAAGCAGCAAACATCAAAGCAATTTCAAGCACATGCTTGTAACTGACAATAAAAAAAAAGTTTCACTGGACAAAAATTCACTCAAATTATTTTTATAAAACATTTAAAAAAATTATTCTAAGCATAGGCTTCATAATTTGAAACATTAGCAATTGCAATTATTCAACAGGTTTGATTTTAATTGCAAAAATAATTGACT